CCCTACACCAACCTTCCACCAAGGCTTGACCCATCTGTAAAGAAGTTCACTTTCCTGCTCTGCTCTCCTCCAACGGCTTCTTCCAACCAACACCTCCCTCGTCGGTATATGAGCAGAGAAGGAGCCGCCAGACTTTGGTTTGGCGACTTCGTGTTCCAAGTGAGCCCGTACGACTTCAAACTGTGTGAGAATGTCCGAGTGTTCAGATACGTGTACTTTTAAGAAACCAGATTCTCTGATTCTTATAGCATTTATCTGAGGATAACAGAGTTTTCAGATACGTGTTATGTCAAGAATCCAAATTTTTTGAGTCTGATAGGAACTTCCACTTCCATACGCCTTCTAATGATGTCTACGGGCATTAAGTGCAAGATGGCGTTAAGTGCCGCAGTTGGCGTGGATCTTAGTGCAGCACACATGCTAATAAGCGCCGCCCAAAGCTATGTAGTTTCTTTACAAGTGTTAATTTTCCAGAGCCCTCCGCCACATATGGGCTTGACTAGATAATTCGCTGTATCCGCCAGTTGCAGATGGATGGCTCCCAGTTGCGGCGGCGGTGCAATCGAAATCGTATATAATATAATATTGATATAGAAACCACTTCCGACGCAGTTTGTATACAGGAACTTTCCTTTGACCATAAGTGCTACTCGTCTGCATTGGCAATCACCCGGAAGCCGCGATCCTCAAGTTTTTTGAGCAGGTCGTTAACGACCAGGATACATAGAAGGGAATTCCAATCCACCTTGTGGCGTTGACGTTCTTTTGTCGCATAGAAGACTGAGAATGAGGTTTGATTCAAACCCAAAACCACCCAGAGCAGGAACAACTGCTTTCGGCTGGCCATCAGTCTATTCATAGTTTTTAGTATGAATAAAGATTGGAGTAAAGTCTTTAACCGTAAGGTGGTAGCCCAGCCTTCGGGATGAACGTAAGTCTGATTCCTCGCCAGACTCCCAAGATATAACACAATATAATTTAATTCGCATTGAAATGTGCCAACTAGCTGCATGACACCTTAGCAGCCAGCTGCAGCAGCGCTGGAATGATGTTATCGGGCCTCGGGAACTAGAAAGGCTTGAACGAATTGATTAAGAGTATTTCATCCAAAAGGTCGACAAAGTGATAATCCCCAGATCACGTACTGCTCCGGAAGTGACCAGCAAGAAGCATCTGAGGAGTATCTTCACTGCTTAGAGCCCACTGCCTATTTGCGTCCTTAAGATAACTCGGGGAAACGGGGTTCTTTGCGAGAATACGCCTGAAATCTAATGTCCTTCAATTTAAAATAGCAAATATGATGACATCTTTATTTTCTGCTCTAGAAGACAAAAAAATTTTAATACAGGTTGGATCATTATTATTAATTTTAATATCAAACACTTAAAAAAGTGTTGGCGAACATTTTTTGTTGCAGATTTCTTATGAAATTGTCATGAAATATCATAAAATAAATCACACTTATGAGAACTAATTGAAACTTTAAGTAGACACTTTTGAATACAGGGTGAACCAATTTTATTTATTACAAAATATGAAAACCAAATTAACAAATGGTTTTGTTTACAATTCAAATATATTAAAATCAGAAGTTTTGCTTAATTTCTTCAGAAAGAAATTTAAATACAGGGTGTCGATTTTTTTTTATTTTAAATAATAAAATAGTACTTTCAAAACCTATTGGCTGCCAAAATGAATTTTATATCATAAACCTAATTTTACAAAAAATTAAAATTTGTACATGTATTCGGAATACCCTGTACTTTTGGTTACGAAACTTTTTAACAACCATTTATATAAAAGTAAAGTTTGCGATACACTCAGTCAAGTATTTTTCTTTAAAAATTGAGTTTCTGTATTCTGAAATTTTATTACAAATTTTTTACCACTTTCATCCCACAGTGCAACACAGCATGAAGTGTTACAACTGCAAAAATGTGTGAAATAACGAAAAACTACTCAAATACTCGCTCGTTTTTGCTAACAAGCAGTTAAAGCAGTCATAAGTAAAAAGTTTACAACTTGCCACTTGTAAAACACGCGCAGCGAAAATAGTTTTTCACACCCACCCAACGCTTGTCACTGTACTACCACAAATTTCAGCTCCTTTGACAATTATATTTAGTAAATTATTTCTACTTCTGTATCTCCAGCTAAGCGTCAGTATGTATTTAACTTTTATATGTAAGTGAAATAATTATTCCTATACTTAATAACAGTATTTTTGCAAGTATGTTATCGTACTAATTAAATTACATGTGTTACGGAAGATTTTCTGCGCACATGCAAAGTACTTATTCCAGCACTTAGCGCTACAATTTCTTACTAATCGCCACTAATTGATGTAATTCCCCATTTCGTGGGGATTTTCTACTTTCTGCTTTCAGAGTCCGTGTGGAATATTACGTAAACGAAAACACATTCAAAGAAAGACTGCAACTTTACTTCATTAAGAATCAGAGATCAAGTGAGTATGCAAAAAAAAAAAAAAATAATAATAATAATAATTGATAGTAAATTTTTATAATTGTGTACAGCTAATTAGAAACGCTCAATTTTTTGTAGGTGGCTGATAAGTATAATGACAAAAAAAATGTGATATACCGTTATTTATATTCCTAAAAGTCTTGCATTGTTCGCCTTACTCTATTTACTACTAAATTCGCTCTGTTTTGTAGTTGTGAAGTTAAAGTTCTTTCAATTTTTTCCCAAATAGTAAGTGCGTTACGATATAGAAGGTGCATTAAGTGCGACAGCTAATTAGAAACAGTTGTTTAAAGTTTTAGAATTTGTTCTGATGCAAGTTCTTATTAGCAATATCATTGATTTCTGATAAGGATGTGTGTCAAAGTTGTGGTTTAAAATATATTAAAATGAATTATTCAAATTTTTAATGAGAAAAAGCTGCAGCTGTACACCCAGCCTTCGCAGCTAAAACTTTGATCTTCGTCGGTATGGAAAGATGTGCAAAGAAGTTTCGAATAAGATCAAATGCTCAAAAAGAATTGTTTTGAATATCCTTAAGCATATACAGAACTCTAAAACTATTTTCAATATTGCACGCAATGAAAAAGCCGCAAAAATTCAACAGACATATACCGCAGAACTACTACTGTTACCTGAGGAGACCCAAAAAAAAAAGAGTTTATCTGACATTTTACATGAAATTCAAGAAGAATACGATGTTCAAATATCCGTATCCAAGAAATCAATTTCCCGCCGTTTGGTCGAATTTGGACTTCACGGTAAGGCAGCACGCAGGAACCCACTTCTGATTAAAATTCGTAGAAGCGACGCGTAGACTTTTCCAACTCTTATTCGCCTAAGACAACAAATAAACGGAGCTATGTCGTTTGGAGCCATGTAAGAAAAATTAACCGTTTATGACCTGATGTTCGAAGGTATGTTCGCCATCTAATAATTCAAGAATTTTATCCTCGCTATGCTCAACGCGCAGTTGTGTATGGTGGAGGATCAATCATGGTGTGGGGATGTTTTATTTGGAATGATGTTGGTCCACTTCATAAGTTTGTTGGTATTTTAAACTAGGAGAAATACGGAGAGTTTTTTTTTATACAAATTCTATCAATATTTTGGAATGGGAATCATCCAGCCCAGAATTAAACCCTATAGAACATCTTTGGGTGATGTTAAAAGAGCATTATGCACCAAAAATATACCAAATATGGATGTTCTTTGTGATGAAATTAGAACGACATAACGTAAATTTGGAATCGATGTGAAGCAATATTAAAGTAAAAGAGATAACCAACAAAATATTAGCTGAAAATAAGAAAGTTTCTGTAATATCATTATTTTTTGTTGATAAAATATTTTCGTTTCTAATTAGTTGTCGCACTCAAATCGTTGATTGCACATGTTTTTGTTAAAATCTTCAAAACAAAAACAAATTTGAAACTAAATTTTTTCTATTAAAAATTAAGTTTAACATAGCTTAATAAAATAAGTGAAAATACAATAAATATACGTGATTTATTGGAAAATAACATAATTTGCTTTAAAATAGGTGTCGTTCCTAATTAGCTGTCAACAGCTGTATATCAATATAAAAAATATTCATATTTATTTTTAGAACGGGAAATTAGTACCATGGATGATTCTATTTTATTGTGCAAAACTGTGCATATAGTGTACATTTGTAAATTTTTTGCCAGCTTCTTAAGTAAAAGTTTTGTGCTACTCAAATAAATAACTCTAAATGACAATGTGAGCAAATTTAAATGTTACTCATACGACACGTCGTGCTAGCAAATTTTTGAACATATGAAGGGGAAATGCCGTTCACGTTAGCGTTACTCATACGCATTGGCAGATTAGTGCCACCTGAACACGAACAACATTGTTACTCATACGCCATGACACATCAGTATTTCCTATAACGAGAATGTTCTCCATACGCAATGGTGCTACAGTTATAGCTTACAGCAACTATAAATGTTACCCATACGCCGGTCAGGCTTCTAAGAACCTCAAGCAAGCCTAATTGTTACTCATACGCCATGGCACACCAATGCATACCTAATGTTTTTAAAAATTGTATTATACAAAATAAAATATAAATTAAATAAAAACACAGCGCTGCATTCTTTAAAGCAGTCTGTGTAATCAGTACTTCTCAAAGCCACTTCCCGCAAATAGATCACTCAGCAGCATTCAGCAATCAACACGAATGACTAATACATATGCAAATGCGAATACATTTCTATTTATAAACACACCGCTCGCTCTAAAGCAACATTGCAGCGCCCTGCTTAGTAATATATGCCAGCTGCTATATACTGATATGCAGTAACTGCAAAATACAAGCATTTGTGAGAGCGCAGAAGCAATGCACCGAGCGAGTGTCCTTTAATGCTTTACTGAGCATGAAATTATCAAACAAAAGAACCAATTTGAATTTATATTTCAGAATTTATAAATAGGTATTGTATATATTGTATGCTTGTTATATAAGGGCATTTCATTGAAATGTTTATTTTCAATAATTATCAATAATTTAAGCTGAATTTGGCGCATTTTTATTTACTTACAAGCTACAGATTAAATATTAATAACATTTTCCTACTATTTTCATTTCAAACTTCATTTGAAATACGACAAGCTAACTAATATTTAGATTACAAAACTTTAAGAGCTTCAATTTGCCACAAGAAAAGTTGGTTTTTCAATAATTCACGAGAACTGATTCCTCTCCCTTACGCCTTGCACAGCCACGCTTGAGCCTTCTTGGTCACGCTTGAGTCTTCTGCGGCGGTCTAAGTAAATTTTCCAAATATTTACACGCCAGCACGTGACCTTTGAAGTTTGTTGCAACCACAACTATGCAAACTTTATGCCAGTAAATTCAAAATATTTTGCACAAATAATGTCGGGAAGTCGTGCGAGCACTTTAAGCAACTTGGGAATCAATTCCCAATTGTACAATTCAAAACTAAACTAAGTTCTACGAAAACTTAGCAAACAAGGCTGGCAACTTGGGTAGCTATATTAACTAAGCCTGCAAATATAAAAACGTGTTTTCATTTGTGTATGTGTGTGAGTATTGCAAAGTTTTGCTTGCTTCAGCTGTGACATTTACTACTCAGTCTGACAACGCAATTATTTAGCTAGAAGCGAAAACTAGCAATAAACATATAAATATTGCAAATAACTGTTTTCTGTTGCATGAAGAAGAATGAAAAGGAAAATAAGTCCAAATAAAAAGCTAAAATGCCTTAGACAGAGGATTTTATTATAGCTTAAGAGTGAATAAAAATATCTTCGCATTGATTTTTAGATATTAGATTGTGACAACTATATGATTTAAAAAGGTTTTTCCGGGATTGTACCGATGCTTTAAGTTATAATGCGTGTCAAATTTGTGGGAGATATCTTTTCAAAAAAAAATTTTTCGTTCAAATACTTTATTTGGATCGGTCAGTTTGCATGACAGCTATATAATATAGTTCTCCGATTTAAACAATTTCTGCGTTGCTTATAGCAATATCTCAAATTGTAATATGTGTCAAATTTGGTGATGATATCTTGTCAAATAAAAAAGTTTTTCATAGAAGGACTTCATTTTGATCAATCACTTTATATGACAGTTATATCCTATAGTTGCCCGATACCGTTGGTTCCGACAGAGAGCAGCTACTCAGTGAGAAATAGACCTATGCCAGCAGAGAGACGATCATGACTGAATAGTTCCAATATCGCTTAGTATATTGTATTTATATACATACAATTAGTACTGCTTCCTCACAACCAATATATGTATTATATATAACCGGCCCTTTGGCGCATTTAATTCCAAATCAAATTGTTTGCTTATTCTTCAAAGCAACTCTCCTTTGCTTGTACATTTTGCGCTGTCATTATGCAAGTGGTCAGGCCTTAATCATAACAACAACATAATTACTTAATTAATTAATTATTATTACAAAGAACCCGTGGAAAGTGTCAACAAGCATCGGGTTCACATAACTGTAGCTGCGCCACACGCACACACACGCCACAATTGAACTTACCAAAATGAACTTGAATATTAATGCAAACCGTAAACCGCAAACCACATAGACGCAGTTGTCAATATTTGTATGTGTGAGTGTGTAAACACAATCGTAATTGCTAGTATTTGTATTTGTTGTAGGTAAGCCACATGCGCTTAGAGCGCCTTAAAATACGAAAGCATAAAATGCTCACAATTGAATACAAAAAACAATTACAAACACTTGCAGAACTTGAACCAACTAGTTGTGGTCTTACTGGCACATGTTAGAGGGATTAAAGATATTATTTCTTTGCTTTTATTCAATAAGGGAGAATTATATGTTTTGTAATTAATTTCATTTTCAGAAGAGGCAAGAACTAGACTGTACAGAGGGTTTTACAAAATTTTCAAGCCTAAGCGAGAGCTTGTTCATTATAAACTCTGACCAAAATGCGAAGACTTTCGGCTGAGGTTTACCTTAATGGCGAAGTAATGACCAAGAACTTCCCACCAACACTTTTTCAAGCAGGAAGTTTATCATATTTGAGTGAAAAAATTTTGTTCACCCTTTACATGAGAATAATATGATATACTACATAATCTAGAAGACGCACAAGGACATTAGCTTTCTAAAGCATGTTTGGTTTATTGGAACATGGAAATAGTAGTCAGGTTACCCCATCTCAAGAACGAGTTTCATACACAAAATACTAACCAAAATCATTCGAACAGCCTTTTCCAAATAACTCTCACGTTTTTTTCTATCAAATTATTTTTCTAGGCAATTTATAAGTGATTTCGAAGACCAAACTGGCCGTTATACGTACATGTTGGCTCTGGAGTTGCTTGCTGATGTATTATAATCCAGCTTATCGGCTTTGCCAATAGCAAAGATCTCTGCTTAGAATATAATATAGTCTTCTGGAGATCTTTAGATCTAAGATTTTAGCTAAGATTTAGCGTTCTTAGAACTG